TTCGTCTTCTGCGTAGGTGTAAAGCAAGAGGAATTTGGTCTTCTCACCCTAAATGCTTTACTTCTCCTGCCCTGCCTTCAAGCCCTCAGAGAGTATTTTAGAAAAAAAATAAAAACCAAAAATATGAAGACTTGAAAAAAAAAGGCAGGGTATTGTGGAAAAGCAATTTAGCCATGAAGTCACTGGGCCTGCTTTGCAGGAAATTAAGGATGAATATAGAAGGGCCAGATTACAATGCATCCAAAATACTGCTTCTTGTGACAGAATCTCTTTGTACATAAGACTTACCACTCTATGCTGGTGGAATCAGACACCCAAGATGACTTAAAGATTAGAAAGCATCATTAAAATCTAATCTTGAAAAGATAAAGCTTGTAGGACAGGATCTGTGTATCTTTAACAACCGACCAGAGAGAAATCTACTTGTAAAAGCTTGCTTATAAAAGCAAGCATTTTGGCCAAGAAGAGATTTTTATGTCAAGTGCTTCCTTTTAATAATGTCCTATTTGGTAGAGATTCCAGTACTCTGGGTTAAGAAGAAAAAAGCAGCAAATTAAAATGTTCTGGTGAAACATTTCTTTGTTACGGAAATATTAGAAATTCCATTTATTCAGCAGCTGCATTTGTCTATCCCAAATACAGCTGGAAATAAAAAAGATGGCTCTTCATGGGATTTTCCATTCGTTCCTTCCTCCCGGAACACACACACACACACACACACACACACACCCCCACACCCACCTTCCACCATTTCTTCTAGAGCAGATACAAAAACAGAGCTCATTTTTTCCCTCCCCCAAACCAAGAATGTTTCAAATAAGAAAATCTGTGCTCTGCAAGAGGCACATTTTGGAGATGCGTTTTTTGATGGATCTGGATCTGTCTCTTTTTTTGTTTTCTGTGTACACATACAAGCATAAATATGCCCCATTAAGAAAAACACTAGTTTCCATAAAAAATCATTCATGTTCTTTTACTCATCTATGAATCAGGCAGGGTGACTGGTCTTTCTCTCTGGGTCCTGAAAAATAAGCACTTCCAGAAGGCAAATCATCCTATTTATGTGAGATGGGATGTATCATACTACAGACATTCCCATCTTTTCTCCCAACTGCAGTGAAGCCTAGACAGCCAAATTAGGCTGGACCTCTAAGAGAAGCAATGGAACACCCATCATAAGTTCTGTCTATGCAAATTACCCTCTCTTTTATGGTAAAGGGGGATTGCCTCCTCCTTCACCCTATTTCTTAGACACCTATTTTATGGAAAGGGGACTTGCCTCTTGGACAGGTCTGTCTCCCTCTCTGCAGGCTGCAGTAACAGTCAAGAAGGTCAGGTTAGACTCAACCTGACTTAGATGTCAACCTTGGATCTAAATGTTGGTTAGCTAACATGAGACATAAGCACCTCTCATTGGTCCAGGGGCCCTGCCTGCACACAGGAACCTGAATTAGGAGAAAAAGATCCTTCAGGAAGCCTTCAAGGCTCTTCTCCTCATTGTATAATAAATTAAGCCTTTGTTTTGAGATGGCTGATTCCATGATTAGCAAAGTCAAGCAGGCTGGAGTCAGTGTGGTTGGCAGTGCACTCAAAATATGTAAGATGGCCTTCAGGGAACAGTGTCCCAATCCAGCTGCTCTTTATAATCCATGTTCTCCTGAAGCCCTATACAGCAGTATTGCCGTATAGATACTCAGCCTTCCCCTGAATCTCATCTTCCTCCCTTCATGGGCACAGTGATGTGGAACAGGTATCAGAAATATTTCACACCTGCTGTTCCTAATACACCTGATCCTTTTCACATGATTCTGCACTGAGAAAGGCTGAGATTGTTTTCCATGGTCAGTTGCTGTTGGGAGGGAGATGAACACCAAGCCCTGGCTTAGGCTTGAGTGCTGTGTAGCTTCTGATGGGGATGACCTGTTTCCAAAACAGGTGCCTGGTATGGTGCTGAGCTCAGGCCCAGGACTGGACTAAACCAAGTTCAAAAGGGCTCATATACTTGAAAGAGAAATTACATGGAATGGAGAATTTTCCAGATGAGGAGCAGAATGCTCGGCACAGGATTAGCCATATTCTGAGAAACTAAAGGGGGTTCAAAATGCACTCTCATTATCAAATTTGTTTCGTAAATAACTTTACAATTGTTTTGGACAATCAAACCTGGTTATCATCTTTTTATCAGTGCAATAAAAACAACATATTTTCTTCCCTGCTATGACTAATTCTCATCAAATAGCCTTCCTCAAGATGAGCAATAACTCTAGTTCTATTATATTTTTTATCTGTGTTTTGGTTTTATTTTGAGAAGGAAATAATTGATCTTATTTGATTTTGAACATTTCTCTTTTATTCTTTTGAGACACTACTTGCTATTCTACCATCAGATACCAACTTGAACACACAGTGGAATCAATGGAAGAATATGAGGTTAATAATAACCAGCCTGTGGCAAATAATAAGCCGAAGTAAATACTGTGAAAGATTCTATTTCTGCATGTTTCTATAGATGTACACAGCACCTTCATGAATAGATCATATTCTCATTGATGTTTCTGGTGACACACCGGTGCCTTTGGCTGGAATGACACTAGGGTTTAACCCTGGCTTGCACTGATTGAAATGGCCTTTCTATTATATTTAATATAAAGAGACTTCTTTTATTCTTTAAGAAAAGCTGCCATTTATTGTTTTGATTTCTATAATAACACAAGGAGTGCAATATAAATCACATAAAGATTTAAGTGCTGTCTCGAAGGAGCTGCTAACAAATATCATAGAGGATTTTAGATCTATCTGTAAACATTCTAACCCTATGAACTATAATGATTCTGTATTATGAAGGGCATGATCCCACAAAAAATTGAGTGCCTCTTGCAATTTGAGCCCTTGACTTCCATTGAGTTTCAGAAAGGACAAGGCTTTACACTGCAAATATCCTACAAAAAGCAAGTCTTTAGAAATTCCACCCCATAGCCCTGAGTTTATTGTCTCGCAGAGACACATTTGCTCAGTTTACAGGTGAATATTTATTTTTCTCACCTGACATTTTTGCAAACTCAACTTGACATCAAGCTGAATTTTTTCTTATTCAAGCATCATCATCAGTAATAAAGGTATTTTTGCCTTGGATACACCTGTGCAACTCCATTAGCCTCCATCAAGGTTACTTGTGCAACTGAGGTTATATATGGAAGGCAACTGGGATGGAGAGACCTGATGGTGGACACAAATCGACCTCTGGAACATTTATTCCTGCTGATGATGTGAAAGAAGGCAAAAAGTGGTGAGTTTAGGAAACAGGCTAAACCTTCCACTATTTTTTTCTTGTAATGCATGCAAGTCTTATGTAGGCAGCTGAAAGACAATACATGCTGAAATCTAGGCTTCTGCTTTCACAAAATCTAGGATTTTCATTTTTTATATTGTTTTAACTAAGTTCATAACAAAGCAGTGCTCAATCTAACGTATATCTCCATTTAATAACTAAATAATAAACCAGCAAGATTTGTCAGTGTGCTTCTAGAAACAGATGCTGCCTGGTGACTTCTGCACACAAGCAGAAAATCCAAATGACAGTCTTTGGGCAGTCAGTGATTTCATTTCTCTAAGTTGGTTCTATGATTTTTTTCCTGTAGACTCTACTCTTTTATCAACCTGAAAAGCATATACTGTAGCCTTAACAATTAAATAATAATGAGCAGACAGAAGAGAAAGGACAGAAGAGATCTGGCATAGCTACTGCTAGCAATCATTAGATTTACAGAGGGGAAAAGACATGCTTCCTAGGCCAACATATTTTTTATGAATAATTGATAAGGCAGTCAGTACAGTTATATCATAGAAATGTAATATATATCCATAATTATAGAACCAGCTTTGTGCAAAAGGACACAATACACTGAAAGGAGATACCAGCCAATATGCCATCCTGAAATAAAATACAATCACTATTGTGTTAGTTGGCAAAATTTAAATACAGGATTTGAAGCAAGCAAAATGTTCTTTAATCCCATTTTTTAGCACAGTCCAGGCTCAATCTGCTCAGGAAAATACTGCAAGGCAAAATCAGCAGCTGCATTAATTTGCTGATGATTGAGAGAGAAATGAAAGTTATCCTCGTGGTTTTTTTTTTCCTCTACTTGCTACTCTAACTTACTAATAATACGAGAGTACTAATTTATTCCTAGGCAAGTATATGAAGGATACAAATTGAAAAATCAATGTAATGGAAAAAAAAGATTATCATGCCCTGTTTAGAATCAATCAGCTAGAAACAGAGGGGGGAAAATGCGAAGGTGGAGACATGATGTTTAGAAAATGTACATACCGTGCCTACCCTAAGCTCAAGTGTTTGTATGAAAAAGCTACTGTTAGTCCAACATGCAGACCGAGCTACATTTTGACCAGAAAATCATCTTATTTCCAATTTTTTCTAGAGAAATGAATCAGTTGTCTTTTCTTTTTCTAAAGGTCCCCAAATAATAAAAATATCAATCCCTTTGCCCATGAAAGCCACACAAAAGCATGTAAAGAAAGATTTCAGGGTGAAGGGATTACAGCACTCTAAATGCTTTACTTGCACGATGTCTCAGCACCGTTCACCTGAACGCTGATGGCTTTTTGCAGCCTGAAGCACAGACTTTGGTCGTGTGTGGCAGAGTCCCTTGCAAACATTGACAGCAGTAGGTTTTAGTTGTGGACTGCATCACCATTAGCAGTGGAGTTTAACTCTTAGATCTCTCAGTGGTAGAACACTTTCTTCGGCCAAAACCAGCCTCTACTCATCAGAAATAATTACAGTGTACGAGTCAGATGTGTAACAAATGGATCTGAGTCTCGGTTTGGAAATACATTCAGAGGAGGTGGAAAGAATGGCTACTGGCTCTGTGACAGGAGATTCAATCTTCATAAACCTGCAAGAGAGGGGAGGAAAAAAAAGCGACACAAATGCGCCCTACAAAAGAACAGAGCAGATCACAGCTGGAAGGAAGGCAAACCTTTTAATCAGGTCCTTGAAATACAAGCTGCAGGAAGCTAGAACATTTTGGTGGACTTCAAACTCTTTGCCTTCAACAATAATTTTCAGGTCTGTAAACTCTTTCGCTCTGCGTTGCTGGTTCAACTCCTTCAACATTTCTGCAGAACAGAGAAGACAGACAGTGCCAGGGTTCCCATTAAGAGTTTTTTTATTTTTACTTTTTACTTTTCATTTTTTTTTTGTAAAGAAGTAGAGAAACAGGAAACAATTGATATTTTTGTTGGTAAGATAGGCTCAACACAGACAGTCAGAAGTTACGAACATAACATATTAAAAAAAAAGAAAAAGCAGGAACCAGTAGGTCTAAACAACTGAAATATATATACACAGAAAAAAAAAAAAGCAAAAACAATTCCTAAATTTGGAAGGGTTAAAAATGAAAATAAAATATTTCAGCATTAGCAAATCAGAAACACAGAAAATGCATTATCACAGAAAAGTTAAAATAATTTGTTATAATCAAAATCAAGAGCTAATGAATTTATATCCAAATGGAAATAAGTTTTGAATATACTAGAATAATATTAGTAAAAATGGTATTATGATGCAATATGAACTGGATATGGGTCAAAATAATAAAACCACAAGACCTGCAAAAATAACTTATCCTTAACATAGTAAAAATGTGCTAAGCCTCTCAGTTAACATAAAAAATAGCAGTTCTAAATAATATATAAATTACAGTGCATAAAAAATTAGCTAAATTATCAATGCACCTTGCAATATACCTCAGCTATATAGACTACAATTGTATATGTTTCAGAATTAGCTTAAAAGCATCCTTATGATAAAAAAAAATCTCATGCAGAGAATAAATTACTGCCTTTTATAGCAATTCCTATTTTTTGCACTCCAAGGATTTTTACCATCACAGCATTTTTATTTTTTAGCCTTCAATGGCTTCATTTACAGCAACAATCAACTTTCACACATCATGAAAGAATCATAATGATTAAAATAACCTATGAAAGTGTTTCCATCCTGCAATAAAGCACCTACCTTGCATGATGCCACCTTTTATAGAGCCTATTGGTGCTAACAGAATGAAATGATAGCGTGCCACGTCTCCATGTGGGGATGTGAACTACTAAGCACCTACATGTTTTATATGCTGCCTGAACTTTTAAGGCTAAGACTTCCCTCCAACTTTGCAGACTAAAGTGGCTATCAAGATGAATAATATACTTTTCACCTGGGCAATAGCCTGGCAGTTCAGAAGCCAGTGATCAAGATGACAGAAGAGCTGATTTTAAATACTAAAACTTTGGGTTTATTTTATGTTTGCAATAGGTCAAGGTTCTCATTTCCTCAGTGTAACACCTGAACACATTCCTCTTCAGACAGATCTGTAAATCAACAACAGTTCCTTACATGGAGTCCTTACATGAAGTAAAACAGACCTCAAGGGTGTGTAACTCTAACTGTGCTCAAAGCTCCTGACAGGCTTGAGCAAGAGCTGCCAAAGGATTGCCAAAGGGTCTCACGGTGAAACTCACACCCAAACAATCCCTGTGCTCTCCCGCTTCCCCAAGGAAACTCAACAGGAATCATTTCAGCCAAGCACTAGTGTTTAATGACACAAAAGCATGCAAATATACAACTGTTTCATGAAAAGAAATTGAATCCCTCCCAAGCCCCAACATCTGTGGTGCGTATTTTTCAGGCCTAAGTAAATAAATGTCACCTTGCACATTTATGTCTATTTAATGGAAACACAGTAGTGTCTGAAAGGCTAATTATTCTATGCTGAAATGGGTCAGTGCTCTCCAGAGAGCAAGCAGATCATTAGAGAGGGCACAGAAATAACAGCAGGCTTTTGTCAGATCTATAATAGGGGAAAATAAACCACTCTGTCCTGTGGGTGCTGTAGCAGGGACTATTTTTAACAAATTCAGCTGAGGTAAAGCACAATGATACATTTCGAGCAAAACCTAAAATGGGATCTGAATGTTCACTCCCGTGCAGGGAAGTCTCAGGCTTTTGCTGGAGGTGTGATGCCTGAAGTCACTGCACAACGAACACTTTGGGCCTCAGCTAAAGACCAAGGATGGTTTGGGCTCAAGGGGTGTTATACTTAATTGAGGGCCAAAGTGACTGGGGTCTCTGGTTGCACAGGAACAGCACCAGGTGCTTTATCAGTTGCATATATTTATGGAGGAAGCATTTTTCTGTCCCTTTTCACATATGAACAATTTTTTCTCTTTCTCTGTCGTGGTCCATTTTCCCACTTTCACTTACAGCAACGACATTTTCCTCACACCAATTTTCTATCATTTCATGTCTTAAAGACTGTTACTTTTCCCCTCTAAACTTTCTGATACTCTCTCCCCTTTTCAAATTTACCCAACCACTGTCCTTGACCCCCATTTGCACTTTTCCTAAGTTCCTATTCAAGTTCCATTTCTCTTGTATCTGTGACTTTAAAACCTTCCTTGCAGAGGCCATTCAGGACAAGGGCTCCATCCATGACTAAGTCATACAAGTCTAAGATTACGCTTACACAAAGGGTCAATCTCCACCTCACCTCATTCCATCTCCCTCTTTTAAAGCTCATGATCAATTATTATGATGTTCAAAGGGCACAACTGTATGAATAGAAACTGCCCAGATGGATCCTGTGCTTGAGGAGAGGAGAGGACATAGAGTTTAGCTGTATTTTTGAATGGGCTGGGGGTTTTAGGAAGTGAGCTCAGGGTAAGCAGCACAGTACAAGCCATCCTTGAACTCCTGGCTGTAGCCAAGATTACTGAAAAACAAGACACAAAGCTCAGCCACTGTCCCTAATGATGCTGTGCTCTCTGGGCTGCCAGTATTGTGAGAACTGGTTTCAGTATCTAAGTCCCCAAACAGCTCCCACAGGTAATGGGCTCATTATTTTGACTTGCTGAGCACCCTTTAATTACACTCAGTCCTGGGCACAGCTTCTATCTATGCTCTTTACACACTTGAATGTGCTTTATGCTGCATGCATTCATTAAGGGATGCAAACCAGAAAACCAGTCTGGAGCAGTAATGCAATTTGGCTCATAAAAACCCAGAAATCAGAACAAGTTCTAATCAGAAACCAAAGCTCCTCTTTTTTCTACAGACATTTGGAAGCTGTGATTCCCTCCTTGGTCCCCTAAATTATTATAGGGCTGTCCACAGAGAAATGGCTATGAACTGTCCTGAATTTTTGCAGCTTAGTATCTGAACTAGAAAGAGCAGAGGCAGGTGGAGAGGAGAGGGAAGTCAGGAGACTGCATTGATTCATCGATCTTCCTCGCTCAGGCTCCTTTGTATTACCAAATAACTAGCAGGCATTAGTATTGGACACAAGGTTATATCAGAATGGGCCCTCATTCTCTGAGTATTTGTAATGCTCACACTGTGCTTAGCCAGGCATTAATGATTTATGAGGACTCAGGATGAGTTGCAAAACAAATTTTTTCACCAGGTAATAATGCCTGCTGATGAGTTGTAAAAGAAGAGACAACACAGTGCAGTCCTGGCAGTGAAAAATGACCTCAGGTCTCTCCTGCTAGTCCCTCTTCTGGGCTCATCCTAATTTCCAGCATTTCCTCAAACAAAAGGAATTTCCTGAAACCTTCAAAATGAGATGTGCTGGGAATTTCCTACTGGTTATTTATTCCTCTCATTTCTTTGTTCTAATAGACTTTATTTTCTTTGTTGTTCCCCCCCCCCCCATTTGACTATTTGTTTTAAGAGATCCAGGTAAAAATGAAGTGCAAGGACAGTTAAGGTGCAAGGTTTCAGCAGAGTGAGCACTGATGTTTCTTCTCCTCAGTCAATTACAGCCACTGCTCTACATTAGTGCAAGGGATTTTCCCTTCCTACCACACACACTGGAATGAGATTTTGAAACCAAGCCAGTCCTTTCTGTCTCCTTCTTCACTAGTGATGCTAAAGTGAAAGACTGGTTGAATACTGTCTTCATAAAGAACTGCACAAGAGACACCCCAAAATTACATGAGCTACGTAGTGGATGAACCTAAAGGGGACTTGACCTGAAACCTGCAACTGAACATCTCTGTGGAGCTTGTGAATGGCAGCATTTTCTGTCTTGCCATTATCATTGCCTAGGGGCATTTAATATAATTATATTGAGAGTCCCAGAGACAATATAGGTCAGAAGGTGTAAGTGACTTTCCTCAGGTCAGGAACAGAGCCAGGAAGAACTCCAAAGCTTTGATTCTTGGTCCCCAGCTCCAGCCATCACACCACATTTTCTCCCTCTTAATTAATGGACAAATTACAAATTAAACTAAAGAGCCCACAAGCTTTGTATCA